AGCAGGAGAAGTTTAGGTGGTTAGATGTGAAGTCAGAAAACAGATCAGAATTCACTTTCTGATTTTCATGACACTAAACGTCTTCACAGAGAATTTTTCAAAAACTATTTAAATGCTATTTCCACAGCTTGTAATGTCACACTATCAGAAATTTAAGTTAACAAGTTAATAACACGTTAATTTTAGTAATAACCATCTTCTCAGAAGGCATCATTTTTAGCATCTTATTAGAAAGACTCTGTCAGGAGAGGTCTGTGAGGTCTGTGTAGATTATTCTGATGTCCTCGTACAGCATTGACATACCACTAGTAAATTCAGATGTGAACAGTGGTCTGTATTGACTTCAGCAAACTTTCTCTGTATGTCTGACATAGCCAGAATTTTGATACTACTTTGTATCCACTTCGGTGCCCATTCCTGAGAGGCAGTGATGGTTAGTCAGTCATCCATCCCAAGGCTCTGAAGAGCTTTCCTATCTTGGCCACTTAACCTCAGAAGAATTTACCCTTTGTAACTCACTATGCACAGGATGAAGCAGGGAAGACGTTGCCTTAAGACCGGATCTTCTGGTTAGTATGTCAGCTGACTATTCAAGTTTTAAGTATATTCAACATCATAAGCTGTCTTCCTCCTTGTATAGCATTGCCCTAGACACCTTATCCCTTTTAATAAAATAATACATAAAGCAATAATAACCCTTTTAATAAAACTTTATACATAAAAAAATTGGTTTGCAGTTTCACTAACTAAATCAAAGTAATCAAAACAGAAGGGGAGATTGAAAACAAAAACACATGTGGTTGTGGGATTTTGAGGAATCACTGTTTTGCCATCTTCTGTAACTACGTACTCAAACCTAGGTGTTGCACTTTGATAGCTCTCCTTAACACAAATCTGGGGACAAGTAGGACATATCCAGACTCAAAAATGTTCTTCTTGTTTCTATTTTTTTAGATTTTAAATTTTTTTATTCCCAGGGCTTCCTTTCACTTTAAGGTGCCTATTCATTTCTCCCATCCTTTTGCATTTGTACCTTCTTGTTCCTTGACCTGTCTTCCATGAGCCTGATGTTTATGGACAGCCACCTAAACACTTCATCTCCGTGACAAAACGCTTCAGAAAATGAATGATTCTGATAATCTAGCCGGTGCAATGCTGGGGTTATTCACTGATCCGTTCTGAGCATCAGCAGAAGATATCGTAACTCACCCTGTATCGAAGGTCATAACTGAGCTTAATTCTTCTTGGAGATATTCCCGTGTAGGTGTAATTTTCCATACATTCTTTATAAAGTTCAAGTTTAACTTTAAAAATTATGACTACCTTATGAAGTCGTGCATAATGAAAAGTTCCTTAATTTTATTATCACTATATGCTGTTGGGCAATAATTTTTACAAATATCCTCCTATAAAAGCTCCTTAAAAAAAGAAAATTTTTCAGTATTTTAACTTAGATCAAGGAATGTCTTCCTCATTGCGTTACATGCACATCACTCTTTACCGGAGAAGAGTGTCTGAATTTTCTCTGCAATATGATGTTTTTAAATCAGCATTCATGCCCACATGTTAGAAAGATCTAGTATTCTTGACAGATCAGCCTGAAGTCTGTCCTTCAAAAACTTGTAAGACTTCATGAAGATCTTTGTATCGTGTGTCTCTGAGTAAAGCAAGAACCTGAGATAAGGGTTACCATTGCTCTCAAAGGTTAGATCTGACAGAGTAAGCGCTTAAATATTGTGACATTGGCACTCTGCTGACAGATTGCCTCTAGAACCAGATGTGAAAGGTTCTGTCATTTCTTCTGTATTCTGAATGACAAATAAATTTGCACACTTTTAGCTTCAGACACCAAATTTGCATAAAAGTGGAGAGGTAGGAGCCATGAACCTGGTGATGATCTTTGTCCTTTTGAAACTGAGAACTGTGGTTTGGGACAATAAGGCTTTTATGTTGCATGGCACTTGTATGCCCAAATTCCACTGCAGACCTAGGCAGTGTATTTGCTGGTTTTCTGCGAGGCTTCAGTCTCACTCTGGGCTACTAAGAAACACGACTTCTTTACCAAATGAGTATTAACCTGGTAGAATAGATAAGGAAACACTTAGCTTACCCACATCTGATTAAGTCTACCCATTGTCTTTGTAAGTAGGTTAGGCTGTATTTTACAGTCTAAAGATTCCTTCTGCTTATAGCGTATTAATTACTGTGTTAGAGACATGGGGTTATCATCGTGTTTCAGACCCACAGAAGTAGTGTAAGGAACAGAATAAGTCAATGTGCTGTTCTCCTCTTTGGAAAAGCCCCATCCCTAAATGTTCATATCCCTAAAGGAAAGTGGTGTTCAGAGCACTGAGGAACACATCTGGAAGAGCACTCTGCAGCTGCCCTCCAGATAACGAGCACTTTGTAGTGGTGTGGATTTTTGAACTGGAGATGAGCTGTCCTTTGAATGCCACTCTGAAAATCAACCCTTTGGATATCACCCATCATATTCTTCTCTTGATGAATCTCAATTATTTTCCTTCTTTTTCTGTTTTGATCTTACTTTGGCTATTGTAATAATGGTCTTTTTTTTTTCTTCCTGTGTTTTGCATCCCTAATGTAACAAAAATCATTCTTTTCTGCTTCCTCTCCCCTCTGCAATCAGTAAATGAATTTCATATCCTAGAGTGTGTTAAGAGTGGGTTTGGTGGCACTTCTTCTTTCAACAAGAACAAAAAGAAACTGATCATTCTCAAAATAGTATGTTCCAATGAGAATGAATATAATGACCATAATGACACCTCAGTACTGGAGAAATTGAGTTGCCAACAATCCACCATTTTCCTCATGCCACGCTAGCGTCTGTAAGCTTATATTACCTCTAAGGGGTTTACAGTTAGATTTTTAAAAAGCAGGTCTTAATCACCAAACAGTTGACAGCAAGCAGTGTAAGGAATAAAAGTTGTTAATATGTCCCAGATTTTCAGTTCTATTTAAAACAGAGGAGAAAGATGCTCTATATTGAATAGAAACCTATTAAACCCATACAATGTGTTGAAAATATATGTTATTTTAAATGTTTTGTTGAAGGCCAACAGTCACAGCTGTTGGACTCCTTTGGCTGTGCATCTGTTCATAAAACCATGTTAGTTTAGGGTACCAAGTTCTTGACTGGAACTGAAGACATCCGGTAGCGTCTGCTCATACAGTTTGGGTCATTACTGGAAAATTCTGTCAAATATTTTAAAATTAGGATTAGTCCGAAGGTAAGGCTTACCAGTAAGTTACGAAGTAAACGGGAACAGAAGATTTAGTCTGCTAAAGATGCGTTTGTCCAGTATAAACAGTTTTCGTGTTGTGGTAACCTGCTTATGTCCTTCACAGGGGAGGAGCTGTGCACTGGCCTCATTTCGGGTTGTTCCTTGGACTGTTCCTTCGGCTTCCAGACGGATGTCCACAACTGTGAGATCTGTCAGTGCCGACCACGGCCTAAGAAGTGCAAACCCATTGAATGTGACAAGTACTGTCCCTTTGGATACTTGTACGTATTCTCATTCTGAAAGCGTATTTAATGTAATCCCTGTACATACTGAAAATATGCAAAATCCAGGCACATACACTTGTTTAGTTTGTGGCAAAGTGGGGGAAAACATAGGAAAATAGAAATGTCATTACTTGATGTGATATTAAAGTATTCCTCAAAATGGATTTTGATCAAGAAATTAAGAAACAGCAGCTAAAAAAAATCAGCAGATTATGAAAGCAAAGCCATGCTTAAATTTTTTTGAAGAATATTTGATGAACAAGATGAAAAAGCAACTTACAAGTAACATCTCTTGCACGTAGCTGTTTGAAATTCTGTTTGCATGTTCCGCTGTGATACCCTTTCATTTTGTAGCCCATTTGTTTTATTCAAATGATTTTATAATATTTCAAGGGCTTTTTTAAATGTTGATACGACAGCTGACTAGTTTTAATGAGACATTTCTAATAGTTACTTTACAGGATTCCTGAAGAACAGTACCATGTCTTATCTAAGTTTTTGTAAACATGTTCAAAACCTGTATTGTTGCTGGAGGTCTTTCTTCATAAAAGGGCATACTTGAGGTATTTATTAATTTGTGGAACAGGTGATGAAAACTGGGCAGATTTTTTGTCACGTAGAAATTTCTTAGTAATTGGTGTGGTGGCTTCTATATGTATTTTACCAACACATCTTATTTTTGATGGGTTCATTCCATGTTACTGCCTGCTTTTCACAGCAGTTTAATTTCTACCTCATGACAGCTGATCTTCAGATAATGTTCATATGCAATTTGTTTTCCTAGGATTTGTAATGAAGTTTACTCATGTTGCAACTCTTAGTGTTTGATACTAATATTCTTTTAATTTCTGGTTCTTCTCAAGAATTCTGTTTGACACCTGTTCATAAACGCTGCAGGTTTTTATAACAGTGACCTATAGTGTAGTGTGTCCTCCTCATAGTATGCAGTTTTAGTAAAGTTTGGAGGAATCAAAATATGGTAGAACCTGAATGATCAGAGAGGTACCAGAGATTTTAGAAAAATAGAAATCAAGTTGCAACACAGTGATATTCTCACAGATTTATTAAGCTCCGCTCGTAGATAGTGCCAGTGAACAACTTGTATTCTCTCTAGTTGTGCTGCCAAAGTAAAAAAAAAAATAATACCACCAGCCATTCACCTTCCTTTAATCTTCATGCTATTCTTAGCCAGAGAGTGGTGTTCCACTTAGGTGAACACAGTGTTGTGGTTGACCTCCCTCTTATTGCCCATACAGCTCTTGCATTGTGCGTGGTGCTAAACAGGAGGTGGCATTACATCAAACAAAAAGCAGACCTGTATCCCATGGAACAATAATGGCACAAGTGTGCTGAACACAGCCAAAAAAACATTTGAAGAATATGTTTGCCTTGAAAACATTGAGTCACTTTTTCCTCCGCCCCCACATTAGAAAGGATGATTGACTTGTATCCTTGAGGCATCCTTAGTGTGATTTGAAAATACCTCCGTAATAGCAGTCCAGCAAAATAAAGTAATACCAGTTAATATGATGCTGTATTTATTACCTGAGATACAGAATTAGGCTTGTGTCTGTTTAAATAACGCAAGTTTTTGCAGGAAATGGCACTTAAGAGAGTGATAGGATTGAAATAGGACAAAATGAGGGAAAGACAACAAAGATTAAATCAGACTTCACTTCTGTCCCCAAAACTCAAAGTTTAGTAGATGAGAGAGGAAAGGTAAGAATTTTAAATGAAAAGGTTAATAAAATTATCTTCAGGCATGTTGACTTCAAGAGTGGCTGAGAGTTATTTTCAGTTTTGCAAGCAAGACAAGGTGGAGCAGGAGGGAAGTTACAGAAAAGGGATGTCAGTTTTGTTGTCCTGAGAACTTTTGCCCAGTGGCCTCACAGGCAAGGATGGCTGAAGATGGGTAGCAGAACGAAAAAAGCGTGAAGGGCTGAGCAGAAATAATGACTGGTTAGATGTCTCAGTTTTTTAGATAGGATAAATCTGCTTACATTAAGGATCAAAGGAGTGAAGTCAATTAAAACAAGTACAAAGCATGCGGAATCATTTAGAAAGCATCTGGTGAGAGCGATGTTTGAGCCATGCCACTGAGCAGGCACAAAATCCAAGATAGGGTCTCTTAAAGCTGGGAGACAAAGAAGTAAATGGTGTCAGGGTATCTGAAACTGTGAGAACTCTGTGACGGAATCAGCAGAAAGGGTGGCCGGGGTGAAACAAAAGCAGTAAGGGAATACAACTTACAACTATATTGAAGCATTTACTGGCCACTGCCATATAGTCCTCATGTGGTGTAATCATTCCTCAAAGGGCTCTGAAATCACTTCCATTAGCTTATATTTGATTTTGAACTTTGGCACAGAAGAGAGAAAAATTCTGAATAATGGCCATCAGAATATATTTCGTTGCTATTTGCAACAAAGATGGAAGCCATCGTTTTTGCTCATGATCCATAAAGCATCCTCAGTAGTAAGTGCAGGATGTGAGCTCAGCAGTCTCCAAACTGTATATGTGAACGTTTCTTTTTATTTCTGTTTTACAGTTGTGTTTTAAAAACTAATTCCATGAACAATACTCAGTTACTTGTTATTTTTCAAATTGGTTTATAAACTCAGCGGATTAATCTAATGTGATATTTAAAGGGCACACTAAGACTGTTAGATCTTGGGATTTATATTTTTCCATATTGTAGCTCTTAATTTATTGTCTGTAGCAGGGTTGATAAAGCTATCAGGACAGAATCTGAGAAGACTTTATTCATCCACACGCTCAAGGAGTGGGTGCCTGCATGTGTTTGCATACCAGCAGAGACAGTTGGTATGAATTACAAAATTTTTTACTGTTTACTCAGTGTGATTGAATATCCTTCAGCTTTGAACAGGAAAAGCTTTTTTAAAATTTTAATATTCCAAGAGCATAAATAAGTTACTGTTTTCAAGGCCATTTGCTTTAGCCTATTGAAAAGCTACAATGTGAGAAAACCATTAAATGAGGTCTATTTAATGTGTTTTGTCATTGCCTTTTTGGACTTACACAGAAATAGCTTGAATATATTCATGAACCAAGGTCTAGGTGTTTATTTCTATTCCAGCTAACTCTATTCTTTGACTTTTCTGCGGTATCTAAAGCAAACAAGCTTGTTCCTCCTTTTGGTTTCTTTCAGTTCACTGCTACTGGTTTTCTTCACTGGCAGATCTAATGTAAATGTCACACGGAAGCATTGAAAATGGTTTTCTACTGCTGATTATGGTTGTTCTGAACTGTACTTACCAAAGTCAGTTACTATTAATGTTTTGTGTAAATGAAATACTCTCTTCCACACAATGAGCAGCTTTTTCTGGTGATATAAAGTGTAATTTCTGTTTAGAGGACAGTGGACATTATATTTACAACTTTAAATCGAAAATAGTAGAGACCTTAACCTGTGGTGAACTGAATATTTTTTTTTACCTTCAAAGCTCTGAATCTTCAGGGAGAAGCAAATACTCTTAAAAGATAAGTTAAGACAGTAAATTTCTGTTCCTGGGCCCATCCTCCCAGGGTGTGCGACTGACAGTCGTGTTCTTGGTTTAAGTCTACCTCATTAGTTACCAGACCATGCATAACTGCTAAAAAGAATAGTATTTTCTTTGGTCTTGTTTTCTTCCTTAGTTTTCAGTAAAGATGCGCCCCTATTCTTCTGCTTACATATATTTTTACTCTGCAACTTCTCATTTTTACTTTCTTTTATTAAGCAAAGGTGTCTCTCTACTGTTGTCTTCTGTGCTACTTTTTACTATTGTTAGCTTTGCAGTGAAGTAGGCTGTTCCACGTGAACGGAATTAATTAATGAATTAATGAACTTTGATTAATCCAAAACTTGTTACTTGGTTCGAGAGGCCTGACTTTCATGCGCTCTCTCATGAACAGAAACTTAACTGGTTTTCTGAAGGAAGTTTTAAACAAAGATGAGGAAGACCCTTATGTATAGTTGGAAGACGACCCTCGGATTGCGATGAATTTGACCTGTGATGTTAAGGGTTATACTCTGACACACCAATATAAATCAAGAATACATTTTTGAACAACAACAACAAAAAATCAATTCTATTGATCTTCTTTTGTTGCACTTCAGGTGAAATGTCCCTGTGTTATTTTGAAAGGCCTTAAAGGAGAAATCTCAAAGAAATGAGTGTTAATTCACCATTTGGAAATGGAAATTTTATTTTATTTCCCTCCATTAAGAGTAGGAGGACAGAGTATAGAGCTCTACTTCACTTTAAAGCATGTGAAATAAATCTGATCTGAAAACGCAGGGGCAGACATGAGTCTGTCGAAGCCCTCATAACACTGCTCTTTGATACGCACCGTAGAATCCTACCTTCTGTAAGTTGAGGCTGTTCTCTAGTTGTCTGTCTTCCATTTAGCCTTATCACATCATATAGTGTGATGCCTTTATATACTTTACTTCCACATCTTCAAGGAAAGAACCCAAGAATAGAGCCTAATATACTCTGTGCCTTAATAAAAGGATGTTCTGTGTTTGAGTGCAATCCTCTTGACCTACAGAGTCCCTTAGTTTGTCTGATCTGTGAGTGTCATCCTGTTGGTACCTGTGCCTAAGCAGTTAAGGTGATTACTGTGAAGAAATTCGTGGTATGTGTTGATATAATCTAGCTGATTGTATGGGGAAATCTGAAGGTGTCCGTGCCATCTTCTTCAATGTGGACATACCTGAAGTTTGCATTAATGCTGTCTATCTACCCAGAAATGATTGAGTCTTCTGAATGAAAATCAAAGAGGACTGAAGAGAAAAAAGGTAGATGGGCCTAGGTGCATATAAAGAAATCGATCAAATCATTCATCTTCCTGGAATGTTTTCATGTAGTAAAGAACTGATGTGTCCATTTCTGAGGAGAATAAGAAAAAGTTCTGAGTATTGTCCATGAGCTGCAAGAGTACTTTAAACACAGAGATGCTTAGTCCTAGGTGCAAGTCGATCATGTGTCAAGGATAATCTGTTAAAGGATCTAGGTGCAAGTATTTTTCAGGGTCGATCATGTGTCAAGGATAATCTGTTAAAGGATACAAATTTTAAGCTCAAATTCAAGCGATTTTCTAAACTCAAGGAGGAAGCAGCCAGTGTCTAAGAACTTGTGTGATACTGTCACATAAGAGTAGGAAAAATTTAGAAAAACTCTAAGGTTTATGATGTTGAAAAAGAGAATAAGACAACAGTCTTTGTTTCCTAGATTTACTAGGCTTGATTTTTACACCTGAGGAAGAATAAAATTACCAAGTAATAAGCTTCAAAATGGAAACTCAGATCTTCAGAAATGGAAAGTATCTGGAACCTGGTGAAACAGAAGAAAAATTGTAAACAGGTTAAAGTAAAAAAGCATAAAAAACTGAATCTTGCCATTTGCAACTATTCATTTGAAGTCCTAGACACGATAAAGTGACACCTTGATCAGACATTGACTCACAGAGTATCAGATCTGAGCCATTTAATGGCTTGCCTAGGCACTCCCTGGTCCAAGGCATGCTGTCTGTATCCCCTTCAGAGGAGTGGTGGGAGCTCGGTGAGGACATCTCACAGCTCAGGACTGCTCCAGGCATGGGCTAGCACTGAACCACACGGCTCGTCTTCACGTAGAAGGCATTATACCAAATATAATGTTCGGCCTCTCACAGAATTTACACTGCTTGTTGTGAGAAGTAAATTTTACCTTGTATGTGTGACTCCTATTGACCTACAAAGGAAAATTACATATTCCAGTGCGCGTTTTCTGTACTTAGATAAGCTGAAACACACTCCTCCTCCTTTTTTTTTTTTTTAACAAAAGTGTGCATATAACAGTTTTATTGGAAAATCTGTGTGAACTATGTAGCAAAAGCATTTTAGAAATGACAGCAAATATTAAAGGGCATATTATGGTAGCTGGGGGTAAGATAAAGATGTTTTAAAATTGAGTTGATTTCCAGCTGATGCTAGCGTTTTAGGAACCCTGTCTTTGGGATGATCTCTTCCTTGCGTTTTTATACACCTGAAAAAACTGAACTTCAAACTTTTTTAAGCTAATTGGAAAATAAATTTCAATTTAAATTCTGGTTTTAAATGTAGAATGTAATTTAATTATGTGTAATGCTTGGCTGGTATTTTTAAATTACGAGTGTTTAATAAGTCTTTAAGTCGATTGTAATTTAAAAAAAAATAATTGGAAATGAGCATCCTAATCTTGTCAGTGCCTATAAATTATGAATAATTGCACTGAATGAAATTAATAACATTTAAAGATAACTATGTATGTCACAGTTTGTAGTATAAAGGTCTAAAATTGTGGTAAGAAATATTTTAAGATCATTTCACTTCAAGTCTTACTTGAGTGCTAAAATTATTTAGATTTGCAGTTGTATGGTACATTCGGTTCTTTACTGCTACCGTGCCAATTTCTTTTCTAAAATAGCAAGCCTTATGGGACTTCCAAGCCTGTTACAACCATCAAAAGCATGGGATGTAATGGAAGACGAACCTTTATTTTAATGTAAAACTCTGGTCACAAATAGGAGACTAAAGAAGCAAGTATTCAAAGAAAAGTATATTAGAGAGTGAAAAATTAAGTCACCCTGATTGTGATTTTTTTTTTTTTTTTTTAAGACTGTCAAAGGTTAGTACTTGGAAAATCTGAGTTCGTGCATCTTTAAAGAAACCAAAACCTTGTCACAGTTGTCTGAAATAACCTGCTCAATAGAGTTCAGTGTTTGAAAGCTCTACACATTAATGGAAAGAAGCATTTCTTCTGACACTAAAAGGGCTGTGGTAACAGAAATAAAGGAGGGAAAAGTAGACAGATAGGAGGACAGAAAGTTGTCCGTTATCCATCCTACTGTGTGACTATTTGTTTTTCTCAGCCTTTTAAGTAAAAATTAAGTACAATTTTCTAGAGCTTAAGTCAGGCTTTCTAGAGATTTACATAATTTATTTCTTCTCTATCCCTCTAGATGTTCTTCTTTAACTTCCCATGTCTTTTCTTTGTTTTGGAGGGAACGGGTGTGCATTTAAAGTTGTAGAATTCAATGAAGTATCCGTCAGTTAAATGTTTTTCCCAGTTTTAGAGAGTTACCCCATTAGAGTGATATGTTTATCAGCAGACTCATGACAAACCATTTATTGGTTTTTTTTCCCCTCTTTGTCTTGAGCTTCTTCATTACAACTTCTTTTTTTTCCCTGTATCTTGGGAAGGCAGGGAAAATTACTCTATCGGTATCTGAAGGGAAATAGTACACTTGTGCCTAGACTTTGAATGGTATTATCTGTCTTCCTGATGAAAGACAAGCAAATATTCAGTATAGGATTCTCAGAAGCAGCATGTTTATGGTGCTGTGAGGAGATGCTGTCAGGGATGCTCTAGACATGCTCTAGACTCCTGCCCAGCTTCATCTGGAAGTTTTGGAAGCCGTTGTTCTTGATTCTCTGTCCTGTCTGCTGAAAAGTTCAGTGGTTTTCTCCATTTGAAAATACGTTACTGTGTGTCTGCTACTTCTTATGTTGATTATTGGCATTCCACGTGCTATTTTTCAAGTAAGTTTTGTGTCTGCATATTTAGTGTTTTCAGAAATCTGTCTGTAGTTTTAATATGCAAGAGAGGAAATCTACTGTAGTTTACCTGTTGTTGGAGGAAAAAGTTTAACAGTACTTTGTGTTATAAAACCATAGTAATTCTTACAGATTCCTGCCTACCCCTCCAACTTCATCAGTTTTAGACGTTATTCTTTCTACTTTTTCAGTTGAGAAAAGAATTGATCATCAATAGTAGTTGCAAGCACATACATCTATATTATCTGTTGTGGCTTGAAAATACCAAATGCAGAGATTTCACCTGTACTCCCCATAGACCCACTGAACAGAAGGGTGACATTTAACGATAATTTTCTTTATTTGATCAGTCACTTCTTTAGGGGATGCTTTTGCTGTAAAGATCATGATATGTAGCTATTTGAAGTGACCTGCTGACCTGTTACAAATTATTTTGGTCATCTAGGAAGAACAAGCATGGCTGTGAAATCTGTCGGTGTAAGAAATGCCCGGACCTGCCTTGTGGTAAAATCTGCCCGATGGGCTTCCAGCAGAACAATCACGGCTGTGTTATCTGCAAGTGCAGAGGTAGGTGCGAGTTCATTACCACCTCTCACTCCAACTTGTTTTCAGAGCAGTTGGAAGCTAGAGCAAAAGAAAAGGAATGCTGCACAGAATATGTAAGAATTGAAATACGGTAACTGGTGGGGGACTCGGTTCAACTTTGCTCGAAGGAGTGTATTGGTTTGCAGGTGTCTGTTACTATTGTGTTACTAGCTCCACTTCCATCTCCCATTACAACCTCACAAAATTTGTTATCATTAATAAAAAGTAGATCAGGCTCTTAAGAAGTAACTACTAGAAATAAGCAAGTTTAAGGGGGGGAGAGGGTGTCAGTAGCAATGTTCATCTTAACTTCTTCACCATCATCTTTTCTTTACAAACTCAGATTTTGGATTTGATAGTTGACAGATGCCCTGTGCACCACCTAAAAGTAGAGTACTGTTTCTTGGACACTTTTCAGGTGGTCTTGGGGAGCAACGAGCAGAGGGAGTGCTTACCCAGGAGAAGGGACTGGGTATTCTTAAGCTAAAGATTTCACATGCGCCACTTGTAACCCAAACTTGTAACCACCAATTTCAAGGTGGAGATGGAGAGAAGATGTTCATTAGTTGTCTGCTTTAGTTTTGTGCTGCTTTTAACATGTCTCTTTTTAAAGATATTTTCAGTTTGTCTTTTGTATTACTCTGGGTATCAGACTTCCTTCATTGCTCATCTCCAGGTGTTGCATTTAATAACTTTTCCAGGCTCTCTCTGATCCTAACTTGTCTTTCACGCTTATTTTCTTTGATTCTTACTCGTGTGTTTTGATTTCTAGCTATTGGCAAGTAAGTTTGAGTATTTTCCCATTACTTTGTGTAAAGACTCCATTCTTAACTTTTTTAGCAGCTATTTCTTTTACATTTTAAAAAAATATAAGATATAATAGGACAAACTATGGGAACATGGGACTGGAAGAAAGTGTATGAGTTCCTGAAGTCACTCTGCTGTAGTTGAAGGCAAATATGCAGTCATATAAATCAGAAGGATCTGACATTATGTTTTCTCCACATGACATCATACACTGCAGATAATTATAACAAAACTTTAAGACTTCTGGGGAATAAAAAAAAGAAATGTTATAAATGTACCTTGCAGATGTGAGAAGTGGAGAGAGATTCAACATCTGACTTTTACTAGAAATAAAAATTCTAAAAATTAAGTAAGAAAGGGTAACTGCTGAATGGAGTTCCATCGAGACAGTTCTCATCACTTACCATTTGTCTTTGTGTTCACAGTCAACACAGTATTTCCTGATTATCATGATGCTGCGGTGGAATATACACAAGGTGTTCTCTTAGGTGTGCCATAATTGCATCCCAGACTATACAGATGCAACTCTTCAGTTACCAGTTATGTGTATGCACACTTTTAAGTGTTTTCCTTAATAAGGATGCATTTTAGAACATGCACAAATATTAAGCGAAAATAACTTGATCCCTCTTTAAGTTGTAATTATCGTTACCATGATCATAAAGATACCAAACCACAAGGGTATCGCTTTGATATCACTTCATTAGCAACTTGTCTAAGAATAATTAGAGCAATCATCAGTATGTTCTGGGGGAGCTGTGAGTCCTTGTGAAAGTTTTGACCCAAAATCCCTGAGAGGAAGGGATGGGTAAATCCCCTGCCTGTGAATTGGCTCCACTTTCTAAATGGCTTCTGCCAGAAATAGCTTATGCTAGGATTAATAGAAGTAGAACCATAGAGGTACAGAGCTGGGGTAGTCCTCCGGAAAACTGAGAGTCCATTTCTCACATAAAATAGAGTGTATCTGGATAATCCTTCACAGATGTTCGTCTAAGATTTAATTTATTAAGAACCCCCACTCTCAAAAGAAAAAAAAAAAAAAGCAAAACCTCTCTAAAATAATATTTTCCTGTGGTTACCAATATCTGACATTGGAAAATAAATTTTCTAATATTTCTGTCTCCCTTTCTACAAATTGAAACCGTTACTTCTTGTCCTAAGCTCAGCAGACATATGGAACAGCTAAGCACCATTCCCTTTCGCATTATTGCAGTATTTAAGGGGTTGCATCTGGAGCTCCCTAAACAATTTGGAGGGGGGAGGTTCTTCTTTAACTATTATCTTTTATACTAATTTTAATTAAAACCTGAAAAGTGAAACCAATCTTAGTTTGTGCAGATAATTTTGAATAGTTGCCTGTATGCTTGTAGAATATTTCAGGAAAAAAAGTTTGACTACATCAGATACTTTATTAAGGAAGGGGAAGGGCATTACCATCTCAGACTTTCATGTGTCATTTTAATATAGGACAGTATTCCAGTGATATTAATGCAAATAGGAATTAATACAAAATTTGATACTGAAGTATACAAGTGTAGTAACAGAACGTAAATTTTTTTCATAATATTGCTGTTCATGCAATAGGATGAAGTCTGGTTTAAGACATATTTTATCCTTATGCCATGGCTTTTCTTTTTAATTCGAAAAATGGTATAGTAATGTAATTTCCGTGTATTGGGTTCTTATTCCGATAACGTGCATCAAGCTAACTTTGTACCATCTGCTTGTGGTTCTTAGACCACCTTTGATAGATCTGCCACACCTGAAGAAGTGCTGACCTACATGTTCGTTTAAAAAAAAAAAAAAGAAAAACACCTTACTAAAATTACGTATAAACATTACTACTTTTCAGAAAATGAAATGAGCAACTTAATACAAATAACCTTATATATGTGTGTCAGCAGAACACGGTTGTTGACATACCACTGAAAACAAGTCAGTTCACTGACAAACTGATCCTAAATCCTTCATCATCTTAATGATGGGGGTGAGGGAGTGTTGGCCTCTAAATTCACTCTGCTGATTAACAAAGAATATATTGAGGCAGAATCCTGCGGCACTTAAATACCCTTTAAGATACAAATGAGACTTTATCCTCCCTAGACCAACTGCTTGTGTGTTCTGGCTGAGTGCAAGTAATGCAGCAATGCGAGCTACTGTATTCTCATCCCAGTAAAAGCTAGGAATGAGGGATAAAATTGGCAGAGTGGTTACCTTCCAAACATCTAATTTAACGTAGTAATGTAAAAAAATACTTTCTCATAGGTGTTTTCTGAAATACTTCCAGTACCTAGCATGACCCCATTAGAACTTGCTCGGAATTTTTGTCTTTCATGATAATAAGACCTTCCTTAGCTCTTGTAAGTGCTTTTATATTCTACTTACTATCAGTTAGTCATAGGTAATCTTAATACACTATAATATTTCAATATATAATTCTAAATGTGCTTCGTGCTTTCTGCTATTTCCCTCCATTGCGTTTCTCTTTTTTCTTATCTTATTTAGCCAGGACTGCATTTCTGTGTGATTGGAAACGGTATAGGTGCAACAGAAAGAAGTGATTCTATTTTCCAAGGAAATATATTTCCTACGTCCTACCATCCCCTTCAGTATACCTTTTAATTGTTCCACGTGTGTTACTTTATTTTGAAGCGTAAATGATGGAATTATTGATCACTTGATTTTGTATGGGCTTTAAAAATAAATGCAATCCAGGCATGAAGTTGGGGTGGCTTTTTTCCTAAGGAATGCATGCTTATCAGTACACTTTGTTTTCCTTTGCTTTTGTGCAGAGGCAACGGCTTCTCTTATGCCTCCCGTTAAAACGGGCTCTTGCCTGTCAATGGATGGGCGCCGACATGAGAACGAGGAGAGCTGGCATGATGGCTGCAGGGAGTGCTACTGTCACAACGGGCGGGAAATGTGTGCCTTGATCACCTGCCCCGTTCCTAATTGCGGCAACCCCACCATACACCCAGGGCAGTGTTGCCCATCATGTCCAGGTAACGTGCTTTCTCCTATGTGCTTTGTAAGCAGCTTTCATTTCACGTGTTTCTGTTTAATGGTTGGACTTGATGATCTTAAAGGTCTTTTCCAACCTAAACGATTCTATGATTCTAAAACATGAAAATAATCTCATGCATCATTCGGTAATAGGTATGTATGAAGGTTTCTATGCCCACATATAACATAATGAGGGGCTTTCATTAAGACCTCAGGTGTGAAAAATGGGAACTTAAATATTGAAAGCATATGCATGTTCTGGGTCCTAACATGTTAATTTTTGACACGTTGAAATCTTTAAACTAGAAAAGAAAAAGTTTCTAGTCTACATTAGCTATAATACCAAATTTATATTCATGTGCGATTTTTTCCCCTGTAACAGCAAATATAATAAGCCATTATATTTTCTCTTTTTTAATTTGAAGTGGAGTTTTATTAAAATTCATCTCTAATCTGTGTTTCACAACCCCTCAAAGGAATACACATTTACACAGATGTCTTAAGTAATTGAACATTATGATTCTGTGTTCTGAGGGAAGGCCCCTGTGCCACCAGCAGTAGATTACTTTAATGCTTTAGGTGGGAAGGCCAAGTACAATCGATGTTGCATTCCAATACAATTTTAATAATAAGTGTTAATATGAAAAAAATCTAGGAAGATGTTAAAGTGTGGGTAGAGTATAAGATTAATGCTCTCTGCTTTCAGAATGATTCCTACAATATTTTACGTGCTAAATAGATTAATTTGTAAGACGGTGATATTGCCTATGACTTTATTGGAAGTCATGTTACAAGTAGGAACAAGGAGGCTCATGATACTACTGTCAGTAGCGAAATGATGAGACAGGACTGGCAGGATACAAGCAACTACGAACTCTTTCAAATGCTTTGTAAAGAATAGGAAATCCTAGGGGCAAAATAAGCAGCCAGATCTTCTTTCTGGAAGTGACAGTGTATCCTCGCTAGGACATAGGATAACCAGTCTCTGAGGAGAAGGACTTGGGGGTGTTGGTTGATGAGAAGCTCAACGTGACCCAGCAATGTGCACTTGCAGCCCAGAAGGCCAACCATACCCTGGGCTGCATGAAAAGAAGCATGACCAGCAGGTCAAGGGAACTGATTCTTCCCCTCTACTCCACTCTCGTGAGATCCCACCTGGAGTATTGCGTCCAGCTCTGAGGTCCCCAACATAAGAAGGACATGGATCTGTTGGAGGGAGTCCAGAGGAGGGCCACGAAGATGATCAGAGGGCTGGAGCACCTCTCCCATGAGGACAGGCTGAGAGAGTTGGGGTTATTCAGCCTGGAGAAGACTCGACTCTGGGGAGACTCTACATCAGCCTTCCAATATCTGAAGGGTGCCTGCAAGAAAGCTGAAGAGGGACTTCTTACAAGGACATGCAGTGATAGGCCAAGGGGTAAAGCGTTTAAACTGAAAGAGGGTAGATTCAGATTAGATATAAGGAAGAAATTCTTCACTATGAGGGTGGTGAGACACTGGAACAGGTTGCCCAGAGTAGCTGTGGATGCCCCATTCCTGGAAGTGTTCAAGGCCAGGTTGGATAGGGCTTTGAGCAACCTGGGCTAGTGGAAGGTGTCCCTGACCATGTCAGGGGGGTTGGAACTAGATGATCTTTAAGGTCCCTGCCAACTCAAACCTTTCTGTGATTCTGTGATTGTAGGGGATGGTATACTTCATATGAATGGGGACAGGTTAGCATGTCAGTCTTGCGTTAGATAAACATTCAAAATTCAGAATTAAAAATGTAGGATGGTTGTTCCAGTGCCAGCAATTCTATTGTTAGGTCCCCAAGACTCATTCCTGATTTCACTCTTACTGTCAGCATACTTGTATGTATTGATTTACCTAACACATAGAGAATACCTCATAGCATTGAAGAGTGATGTTTTTTTTGGTCTTTCAGCAGCACCGGTGGCTAGTTACTTTGTGTACGGAGAATGAGTTTGGGTGAGTCTAATGTTCAGTTCCTGGAAGAAAGATCAGGATGAGATTAGTAGGACCTATCTTCTCACGCTATGCAGTTCTTGTGGATGACATCAGTGTTCGATTCTGAGCACCAGCAATGTTGGTCTCGTTGCTTACCCAGTAGGTCCGTTCCTTCGAGGTACAGTGTCTGTGCAGGTTTCTCTGGCATCTTTCCTGCTTCCAAAGTACCAGTCACCTAGGTTCTGTGCTAGCAAAGTCATACTTGGTGTAAACTCTCACAATGCTGGGGCAGACACAGCATTTTTTAAAGCAGTTGTGCATATAAGTGTATGAATTAATATGGCCAAATTAGTCCCAGCGTGGTTTTGTTTCCCCCACTGAGGTTTTATATTTGTTAGAAATGTACTTCTGATTTTATTTTGCAATGTATTGATTCCCCACTGATGTTGTTAAATAAACATCATGGCTTTCAGTAGATTGGAATGCAGTTTGGAGCTGTGAGACTGTGAGCACGTCTCGAATGTGTCTCGCATAAGGGTATTGACGTAATTAGCAATCCTGATGTATTGAGTTTTGAATTGCACTGTTAACCTATCAACAGGGAAGTGGCAGCTCTCAGAGGTCATTTTTCAGACTGGAAAAAAAAAAAGTAGTTACATTCAATTCCATATTTAATTAGTTTTCAATGCAGCAAGGTATACCTTGACTGCTACAACATTCATTATAACCAAGTTTCTATATATTAAGAGGTTTAAGTGGATTGTCAGAATGCTTGTGAAAAGCTCCAGGTTCCCTGTAAGATTTAGGAAGCTGGTAACTGCTAGTGTTTTGCAGAGCCATGCTATCCAGAAAGTGTGTATTTGTTTGGCTAGTTGCTCCTTCAGGAACATAGCAGTTGTATACGTGTAGCAACTTGGTTGCAGTGATCTATCAGTATGAGTGCTGCTAAGGGAGCGGTAAGCAATACCACATGTACAGCAGTCCTATCTGGCTATGTTTTTCTGATTAGGAACAGTATATAAGCTGTAGTAAAACAGGCCTGTGACCCCCTGGTGGGGGTCGGCCTCTTCTCCCTGGGAACGGGCGATGGGACGAGGGGAATGGTCTGAAGTTGCACCAGGGCAGGTTTAGGTTGGACATTAGGAAAAATGTCTTCACAGAAAGGGTTGTCAGGCTCTGGAATGGGCTGCCCAGGGAGGTGGTCAAGTTCCCATCCCTGGAGGGATTTAAAAGTCAGGCAGATGAGGTGCTTAGGGACATGGTTTAGTGGTGGGATGGCAGGGTTAGGGTAACGGTTGGACTTGATGATCTTAAAGGTCTTTTCCAACCTAAACGATTCTATGATTCTTTGCAGAGAACTAAATGCAAAGGAGATGACTCAGAAAATTTCCAGAAAATAATTAGTATTGCCTCGGCCGTGGTGAGTTAGGATGCCACTGCATAAAATGTAATATATTGTTCCCACTGAAATAAAAAAGGCAGCAAGCCAGCAGACCAGCTCTCTCATTTCAGGTAAATGCTACCGAATCACTTATGTGGTTCATAAACATAAGCAATCAGCCAGAAACGTAAGATCAGCCAGAGTCAGGCTCCTTGAGCTCTACTGATCGTTCTCTGGAAATGAAAGCAAATAACGGAGTGGTGTGTCTCTGCGTGGCAATGTCACAGAGCAAAGGGCACACGCGCCGGTCCCTGGACAAGTACGGCAGTGCTACAAATGTGGAGAGAAGCACGTGCACTTTGTGAGCCTTGCTCTGCCAAAATGACTAGAGGAGCTGCTGGCCATTTCATTTTTCTGTCCTTAACCAAGATATTTGGATTAGGATGATCACATTAAGCATCTTTATCATTAAGTAGGAGAAAGGGACCTTCAGAAAGTGGTTTAGAGATGTGGAGTCATTACCTGGAAGTCACTTTCTGTTCCCCTCCATTCATAGCACAGGAAACCTGAGGCATCTCCATTCTTAATGCAGGCACCTAGCTTAGCTGTCTAACGTTAGATGGGTTGAATTCAGGCTGAAGGACATCATCACTTATAAGCCTGCAGCTTCACATTGCAGCATATAGCTTTCAAACTCATGGCTTCTGTAGCTGTAAAAGATGCTGTGTGAGGCACCTCAACTCCTATACACGCTGCGTGGAAAAAGCAGGTGGACTCGCTCCAGGTCCAAAGCAGCCAGCATGGTAAGATGACAACTGTCATTGCACTTATTGCCCCTTGTGTGGGCGTGGGCTTCAAAGCATTTTAAGCAGGCTATGAGGGATGCAGTTCGTGGCACAACCTTTTCTTGATGGCAAGCACTTAAACAAAGTGCAGGACAGGCTTCTTTTTTCTTTTAAAACACCAAGAGTTAAAGAGAGTTCATTATGTTAATACCCCATTTTCTTAATACCCCAGTGGTTGGAGGACACTCGTGCTGAACAAGGGAAACGATTTCAGTTCCTTTCTTAACTTGAAGGAGGTCAAATCTATTCTCTAAACTGCCTAGGTTAGCTAGGGCTGTAGAGGTAATGTAATTAATTGTTTGAAAAGGAATTAAGGTTCATTTGGTGAGATGTGAGATACAGTCACTGGAAATACAAGCTATACGCTATGGCATCTCCTTGGGTCCAGTTTCTACTTCAATGACAGCAGATTGTTTGTTTGTTTGTTTGTTTATTAACGGAACAAAGTGATCATAGAATCGTCTAGGTTCGAAAAGACCTTTAAGATCATCGAGTCCAACCGTTAACCTAAGCACTTCGACCGATGTTAAGCGCTTATATGTTTCTAGGGGTTTGGGTGAGGGATTCTGTGTTTTTCTTTTCCTTTTTTCTTAATCTGGCACCAAATGGTGCAGACACATATCACTTGGGAAACTTAAAGGCAGAAGGTTGAATCTGGACTTTCTAACTCCCAGACAAGAAGCATACTTATCCAGCCCTTCAGGAATTGCACTGATGCTAATATTTAGCAATTAAGAAACTCTCTGCTCAGTACAATTTTTCAGAAAATGACAGTTGTCTCTTGGAATTCCTACAGCACAGGTTGGTTTGATTTTTTCTGAAATGCCAAGAATGCTTGAAGTTATCTCTGATTTATATTAACTAGCATTTATTCAGACTGATTCTCAAATTGTTTCTTGTTTATATTTTTCCCATTTTCCATGAGATGCAGGCGACATAAAGTCAAAAGTGACATAAAGTCGAGAGAGCTTCATTAAGAATATATTTATGGCTGGTTTTATTATTCCTAGTCTTTTCAATAATAACAGAAATTATTAATCTTGGGTACATTGGTTAATCATTGACGTCAAAGTTCATTTTTGCCTGTCTTCCAATTCTGTTTTTCCCAGATGAAATAATTGTGCAGAAGCCAGAGCTCACCAGCCCGTCGATCTGTCATGCTCCTGGCGGGGAATACTTTGTGGAAGGAGAGACGTGGAATATTGATTCTTGCACACAATGTACATGCCACAGCGGACGTGTCCTGTGTGAGACTGAAGTCTGTCCCCCTCTTCTTTGCCAAAACCCCACCCGCACACAGGACTCCTGCTGTCCACAGTGCCCAGGTATATGTTGACAGCCAGGTCTCATCAAGAGTCCTTTCTTGATCTGAGAGCGGATGATGTGAATATTGAATGTTCCCATATGCACACAGTTGGTTGTGGCGCCTTTATTCTGTAGTAGTTTGGAGCGAGAGCCCCCAGGCCTCTATTTCAACTGCAAAACTTGACTGTGCGCAAGAGGGATCTTATGTGGAAAGGGGAGTTGTGGCCCTGAAGTTTGAACATCTTTGAAGGCCATCTAATAATGTAAGGGTTGCATGAGAACCAGACTCCTTAGTTGGAAGGTTTATGAACTAGGCGCCGGCTCATTTATGGAAACAAGCAGGATTAGAGAAACTCCAAAAGCATCAAAACGCTAGGCAGATGCAGGCTTGTTTCTTTTCCTTTCTACGTGCCTTGGTTTCTATGAAACTTTTTATTACTATCTTGTGTATTTGGGATTTGGTCTCAAAACTACTTCTGTTTGTTTTTACCTTCACCTGGTATGATTTGAGAGTGACTTGAAGGCAACTGAGTAATATCAAAGCTTTCCAGCCCAGGAGGTGTGCCAGGTTCCTCCTAGACTGCCTTGCAGTGTCAAGACAGTAGCAGGATTTGCTTTCCCCTGAGGGAAGAGATGCAGTTATAAATGAACCCGAATTCCTGTTTTACATAGCAAATGGGGGAGTTTATTGCAGTGGAAATTTAGTCCAAACCTGTAAATTTTATGTAAACTCAGTAAGAACATATATGTCTCTCTTAAAAAAAAAAAATCTAAAGATCTTACTGTTAGGTTTTGCCATTTCTTCTACAGGATGTTTGTTGTTTTGGGGTGGTTTTTTTTCTGACAAAACATTTTCAGTAAAAAAGTTAGCCAGTTCTCCTGATTCAGTTTTTCTCATTATTAATAACAGTGAACATTTACTTAACTTCAAAATCCTGTCTGGAGGAGCTGATCTTCCCTCACTGGCTATAGAAGGAGCTTAGTCTCATAACTTATGCAGTGAGATTGAGAATCTGATCTGAGTGCCCTTAGGAATCCTTTTTTTTTCTTTTTCCTTTTCTTTTATGTCTCTGCACATACAGTCATATTTCTTGATCCATAAAGTCTGTCCAGATATAGCTTCATTACAAAAATATGCCTCCTCCATGGGCAGGCATGAGAATTAAAGCAGACCCATTGGCACCACGCTGAAGCCCGATCAAGTTCCATTTGTTTCTCAACAGCTTATAATTAGCTCATGGAAGTCCACTACTGAAGGCGACAGCAGTGTAATAGCTTTTCTCTTTGCATCATTTGAGGATTTGAACTGACATGGCAGAACCTGGGGTTCAAGTTTAGATTTAAAATTTAATCTCTCTGGTTTAAGGTGAATTCCTGTATAGCATTCAGTTCAGAGCATTCAGAGTGGCTTTCTGAGGGGATGCTTCATATAGTGGTTGGTTTTCACTTTGCTCCCTCTCCCTCCCTCCCTCTCTTCCCCCCGCCCTCTGTCTCTTAAGTAAACTCAATGAAGTTCTACATAAACTTTATTCTAGAGCACATCATGAGATCCTCATCACATGTAAGGACTGAAGAGGCATAAGGCTCTGCCCTTCTAGTTCTTCTGAAGCAGTGAGCCAATGTGTTCTTCAAGAGCGAACCCTCTGTTGAGGAAATACGAGAGAAGTTAGCTACTGTAAGTTAAATAACTTAATCTGTTTATATTTACAGATGAGCCTCTTCAGCCCTCTTCGTCAAGCAATGAGAGCATGCCCAGTTATTGCAAAAACGATGAAGGAGATATTTTTCTGACAGCTGAGTCCTGGAAGCCCAATGTCTGCACTAGCTGCATCTGCATGGATGGTGTGATTAGATGCTACTCTGAGTCTTGCCCACCGGTATCCTGTGAGAGACCTGTTTTGAGAAAGGGACAATGTTGTCCTTACTGTATTGGTGAGCAAATAAAAATAGTTAACTTGCTGTTCCCTTCCTGGGAGTAAGAAAGAAGTTTTATTTCCAAATTGAAATATGTTTTCCCTGTTTTGGGGAGATGCGGTTTGTGCCTTCAGTTGAACTGGAGAGTGAAATCTGAATGGGGAGCTTTGAGGATCATGATTTGTGGTTTTAAGGTAGAAGTGCAGGAAGATATAAATGCAATTTGCCTACAAACTTGAGAGGACATCCTCCTGAAAAGTTGGTAATATACCTTGCTAGATGAAAACATTACACAGAAATTGTTTTATTTAAAAGAAGATCTGCCACGTAACATGTATGTTATGTCAAGATATGTGATAATACGAGGAAAATATTAATTATGACTGAAGAAGATAAGCTGAAGCATTATGAAGTTTCACAGAATGGAGAAGTGTTAATAAGGCATCTAAATTAAAATACAGGAAAAACCAGGACATTCATTAGAGATAGTTATGGAAGAGGCAAAATAACATATTTGAGAAAAATTAGAAAAATTCTTAATACTAAAAACGCATGAAGAATTAAGGGCCATGTACTGGTTTTGAATTTGAAATGAAAATTGCCAGGCGTTTTTAAAGTTGCAGACTTTGAGATTCCTGATCACTTTTTCATTGTATTTTGCATAGGAGTATTTATTTACAGATTACTTTTTTGTGAGTTTGCAGGGTACAAAGGCTATAGAATAGAAGCTGCTGGTAAAGAGGAATTGTATAATGAACTTACTGAAATTAAGTCTTTCTAGCGTTGTTGGAAAGCATTCAAAACTTACTATAACCTTCATTTCCAAAAATAGTAGGGGGAGATACAGTAGAAAAGAATTCAGAAAAAAGGAATATGATAAAATAATTATTAATTGAACATGTGAATCAACTTGCCCATCTATAAACAATACAGTTCTTCAGCAGAAAGATCTCAGAAAGGTTGTGAAGTCCTTTCAGATATGTACCATTGATATAGCTCTTGAAGTCTTTAAATCATTGCAGAAAAAATATCTTTAATAATAGGTGATGCAGTTTTATAGGTTAAGCAAGGAATTCCGTCAAAGAAATGCCTGGAAAAGTTAGAAAGTATCAAAATTCCAGTTGCCCTTGGAACTCTACTTAGATTCCTGATGAGAACATTTTGAGGGGAAAATACTATGTTATCCTATTACTCCTTTCTCATCATGATTTGCGTACGAAATGGGGAGGTTTTAAAGCTTCTTTGACAACTGCCTTTCTGCAGGCTTTTCATCCAGTGATTGACTTTTCAAGTATAACGATCATTTTAATCCAGAATACATTTTAGTGTTAAAAAAATACAAAGTGTAGGCAAAGTTGGGCAATCAAACCATCAGAGTCAGACCGTGAGCCTTAGTACTGTACTGGAGAATGGTTCAGGTGTAGGAAGGGATGCACCACAGGGACTAATGCCATGAACTACAAAAATAAAACCTCTAGAACTTTGTGCCTACACCCTGCATGTCATGTTTGCAAATATATACACACAGCATGTAGATATGGCTTTAATTAATTCACTTGGAATCCTATATAGTTGCACAATAGTGCAAATACTTAATGTGTGAGCTGTAAAAACCTAGTTTTTTTTAAGTAGCAGCAGCTCAGCAACATGAAACACAGAAGCCAGGTTTTAATTAGTGCTCAGATATGTTTTATTAATCTAAGCTGTGCTATGTTATCAGTATGTTTTGTGGTCTACATATCTGAAATTCATGGAAAGTTACTTTTTTAATGGTTTCTATGAACTATATACTCTTGCCTGTAAGAGGAGCAAGGTCATGCATTCAGTTTTTGTCTTCCTGCTTCTTACTGGTTTACTCTTCATTTCTTGAGAACTGTGAAGCACAACTTTATACAGATTCTTCCTTACTATTTTCATGTAGTAGTTGATGAAATGTTCAGTAGGCAAACTCTGTGGAAACAGGACTTCTTCATTTATTGGAATTACAAAAATCATGCAGGGTTTTAGCACTGTATTTTATTCTGCTTCTTTCTGGATCCAGATCTGGTTAATGCCTAACAAGTTAGCACAGATTCAAATTCAAAATTTTACAGGCCTTGGATGCTTTGCTGTTTGTCTGGATCCTCAAATTCATCCTGTGTGGTCAACATTCTTCTTTCCCATGCAAAGGAAGATTAATTTGGAAAGATGCCCTTCTACTCCAGAGCGGATAAAGGGATATCTATTTGATTAGAGACAAGATTAGTCTTCTGTGGAAAACAGAACAACAACTGTTTGTTTACCAGATGAGATTGATTTACTGGTGCAGCTAGAGGAAATTTGAGAGAAGACAGGTAGAGCTAGACATGGCATTCTGAACTGCATTTTTGGATGTGGGTTTCTTACTGCAAGTTTGTCTTGTTTCCACTGTCCTCGAGCACTTAGTGATGCCGTGGCCTTCATCTTCACCCTGTGCTTATTCTTGCAAAGAGATGGACACCAAAACGGGAGACACGCACGGGATAGTACTTTCTCAGGATTTAAAAGTTTCCTCTCGAGGTTCAAAGGTGCAACACTGCTATTGTGATTTTACCCTTCTTCATTCTTCTAAAAAAACATTCACCGTATTAAATTGTGATGTGTTCTTTACGAACTTGCAACAGCCTGTGCAAGTTAAAGGACTTTTCCAGCCAAAGCAGCTGCTGAGTTGAAGAAGCTGTCCTGAGTGGGGCAAGGTAGCACTTTTGTGAGCGAATCAGCCCGGATTGCTCCACTTTAGGTCTGCACAGGAAACGAGCAGCAGAGGACTGCTTGGGCTGTGTGCCTCACCCTCGCCCCAGCCATATCTACTTTCTGACCAACACAGGGCTCCACTAGCTCTGTACGCCAACACGCAAGTTATCAATGGAAGAAGATCTGGTTAGCGGTGTCCCTGCTCACTGCAGGGGGGCTGGACTAGATGACCTCTAGGGGTCCCTTCCAACCCAAACCATTCTATGATTCTATGAGAACCTAATGTGTTTTTTGCAGTTTGCAGACACCTTTTCCTCCCACTCTTCCTTTCCCTTGTCCATCCCATATTCACTTATAAAATCTTCCACTTGGAGAGGTTGGGACTCATCCTTACAGCCATGGAAGCCATAGGATACCCATACCAAGGCCCTCTGGACCATTTACGCTTTTTAGATAATTCCATTAGTATTTTCACAGTAGTACTTCATGCCGGTCTCCTTTTGGCATTTGAATTTACTCTGTCCAGATCTGTTGCACTGGTCTACTGCCTGCTAACCTTGTTATTCTCCGTGATGTCAGTCTATTATGTTGTCACTAATTAAAAGCTGTACTGATGGCCAAATTATTTCATAAGGCCTTTTATTTATATTTGAGAGGTAATTCTAAATGACATATTTACATCTGTATTCTGTGTGAATGTTAAACCGGTATTTCTCTGACAGCATAAGAAGCTTCTTTGTGATTTCACTCTGTTACCTCATGCATATGCGTAATCTGCAAATTCATGTCATCAGCAGGTTTCATCATAATAATTTCTGCCTCTAAGAAAAAAAGGTAGTGAGAAGTTAAGATGAAAATCAGATGCTGCTTGGCTTTTAGAGGTTCTGCTGTGTAGTTTTATTTTGATTATCTACAAAGCGCTACAGCAGCAAAAAACATCCTAGGCAAAGCAATTCATGTCTTCAGTGAAATAGGAGATATACTGCAGGCCACCTAAATGGCTTGCATAGGATGCAGCATAAAAAAAAAAAAAAAGGTGCATTGAATGCTTAGGCAGAAAGCATAACGCTTCTTTTAAGTCTTTTCCCAAGACCTACTTGCTTCATCAAGTCCAGGGCCCTATTACCGACTGTGTCAAAACTTATCTGAAAAGCTGTTAGTTACAGTTCTCCATCTTTGGGAAAGGTGTTCTGGAACCTCACTTTTTTCTGAGGGTTAAAATCACACCAATTCCCAATTTATATAATATTAACCATGGAAAAACTGTACTGAGTTTGGTTATTGCCCTTTTCCTGGGATTTTCCATTGATGCAGTTACAGGGAACGATCAGATCCTCTTCAAATCTGTTTTATCATAATAAACAGCCTAAGCACTTCTAGTTATGTCACCTGAGAGTTGCTTCATCCTTCTCGGCATCCAGCCTAATCTTTTCTTCAAGTATTCCAGACTGAGATTAATCTTTCTTGAACCTTGGTAATTAGAATTGTAGGTAGTCTAGTTTTTTTCTTCGTTAAATAGGATTTACTAGGAAACAAGGAGGAGGAGGATCTGGCAGCCTCCAACAGTCAAACATCAACAAGTCAGTTTTTCTTAATTTTCACAGCACTTTCAATACCCTTATTTCATGTCCCAATCATCCGTCTTCTAGCCTCTTGCATGAGGAAGATGAGGAGAAGCAGCTCAGGGTAATTAGGTACTTTATAAAGAAGCAGAAATGACACTTTTTTAACAAAGATTTTCCGCAAGATGTGGCAGGAGTCTTTTAATTACAGCTGGGATTCCTGCGGAGCTTTTGTTTCACTTTCGTGTTCGGGGAAGAAATGGGATTTGCGTGTGGTGGGCCATTTACTGCGTGATCACACCGCTCTCTTTTCCTTCGACAGAAGATACAGTTCCAAAGAAAGTGGTCTGCCACTTCAATGGGAAGACATACGCGGACGAGGAGCGCTGGGACATCGACAGCTGCACCCACTGCTACTGCCTGCAGGGCCAGACGCTCTGCTCCACCGTCAGCTGCCCACCCCTCCCCTGCGCCGAGCCCATCAACGTGGAGGGGAGCTGCTGCCCCATGTGCCCAGGTAATGCCGTGTGACAACCCGGATTATTGTAAAGAAATTCTGTACAATGAGGGTGGTAAAACACTGGAACGGGTTGCCCAGAGAGGTGGTGGAGGCCCCATCCCTGGAAGCATTCAAGGCCAGGTTGGATGGGGCTGTGAGCAACCTGATGTGGTTAGCGGTGTCCCTGCTCCCTGCAGGGGGGTTGGGCTGGGTGACCTCTAGGGGTCCCTTCCAACCCAAACATTCTATGATTCTATGATAATAAAAGGTTTTTTAATTGGTTTTTGAACACCAGTCCACGACTGAATGGAATCAAGAAGACAACAGACATTTAGACTTCAGGAAAAGGAGTATTCTTAACAGATAAGCATATTGTGCCAATATATAGTTTGAATTTTACTTATTCTTAGAACTGTGAACTCAAAAATCAGTTGCTTATCCCTGCTGTGTCCTTTCACAAGGTTATGGAAATACATTAGTGAAGTAGGATAATGAGTATTCTTACAACTCCGCAGATTCTGTCAGTGATTAACATTTCTGTCTTTTCCGAGTCTCTTCGTTACCATTTCAACTATTGCATTGCTTTATTTATCATTTTAACTTGGCTTAAAAGTAATATGAAATTTTCTTAGCTATGAACTGGGGGTGTTCAGCCTGGAGCAGAGGAGGCTGAGGGGAGACCTGATCGCCCTCTACAACTGCCTGACAGGAGGGGGGAGCGAGGTGGGGGTCGGCCTCTTCTCCCTGGTAATGGACAACAGGATGAGGGGAAATGGACTCAAGTTGTGCCAGGGCAGTTTTAGGCTAGACATTAGGAAAAACTTCTTCACCGAAAGGGCTGTCAGGCTCTGGAATGGGCTGCCCGGGGAGGTGGTCGAGTCCCCATCCCTGGAGGGATTTAAAAGAAGGATAGATGAGGTGCTTAGGGCCATGGTTTAGTGGTGGGATGGCAGGGTTAGGTTAAAGGTTGGACTCAATGATCTTAAAGGTCTTCTCCAACCAAAGTGATTCTATGTTTCTGTGCACACAAGGGATGTAAGAGTTGCAACTGGTTTTTAATGCTAGTCCTGACAGACATCTGCAGGATTTTTCTCATCTTATTCAGTCAGCTGGTAACTACAAATGGGGAGATTCAGCAGTCCCCTCTCCTGCAATTCTCCTGCTTTGAGGATTACAAAAAAAAGGCCAGCAAAGAAAAGAGCAGTGACAGTTTATGTATCAACTGGGAAGATGTAGCCTTCCCTTGGCATTTTTGTTGTTCAGCATCACAAAGAGGCAAGGCTGTAGTAGCGCGTGTATTCTGAGATGGTAATTTCAGAAGCAAATTTGTCCACAAGACTATATCATCCCATTCACACATTAGGATAATGATAATGGCAGCAGGCGTGTGTCCCATATACAGTATGAAACAGGCTTTAAAACAAAATCCCAGATAAGTAATGGTGAAAATTCTGAAACAAATGAAAAGATTTGTAGGACAAAGCACTGCACATGGCCAAGTATATTTTCTGAATTAAGAGCAGCACCGGGAAGTTAAGCAGCCTGTAATTTGTGAAACACATTTATCTCATTTCCCAGAGATGTATGTACCTGAACCTACTAACATCCCCATTGAGAAGACAAATCATCGAGAGGGCATTGAACTAGAAGTACCAAACTGGCCAACACCGAGTGAAAATGACATCATCCACATTCACAGAGGTAAGATCCGATATAAACGGGGCTAACTTAGGTCTGTGTTTATTCCCCGTGTTTTGCTTGTTCTATTCAGGTAGCATCGATGTAATGTTCTGAAAAGGTCATTATCTGAGAATATTCTTCAGTGCAGAACTCTCACATGCGTTTTGCTTTGAGTAAAGATGACTCAGTCTATTAAATTATATTTATGCAATTTGGTCTCATTATCGTTCCATCTTCAGCTTGGAAGAAACATCTGTGTTGGTGTGATGGAGTTCTATAAAATTAAGAATGTGATAAAATTATGAATATGGAGTGGTCTGCAGTGTCTTTTCGGATACCAAAACTGGAAAGCAGGCTGTTGCCAGGCCGCTGGAGTCGATAGACCTTCATTTGATCCATTTGACGTTCTTATATTGATAAACAAGACCAGGAAAACGTGTACCACAACTTAACATATATCACAGACAAATGCCAGATAAAAAAAAAAAAGCCCAACAGTTCACGGGTTGATGGTAGAGGGCAAATAAAGTTGTCTAAAGTTGTAAATCCATCTTCTGTTCAGAACTGTGCTGAAATGGTTATTCTGGGGTAGGGGGAACACTCTGTGTCACAGTCTTTGTTAACCTTTTCTAACTGAAGGACTACCTAAACTTGTATATATATATTTTTTTAAATCCAAGGATGATCTCCTAGCATATTATCATTTGGTGGCTAGGACAAAGGATGCATGAAATGTAACTGCTTTATGAAATTGTAAGCTTACATTTTTACAATTACAGCATTTTAATTTCTCGCAGGCATTAGTAGCTGGCTTGCAACTATCCTGGCTGGGGATCATAAACACACACACTGCAAACTGTGTGGGGAACGTTGTGTATGTCACCGAAAATCACCATTCTTTGCAATTACATGCAAAACTTGCAGCCTAGTAGGCTGTCAGCAGTCTTGTTTTCACAGGTTGAGTGGCGCAAGTGTTGTAATATGTTCTCAACAAATGAGAGAGCATACACATCAGAATTATCTTACCAGTTGTTGTTTGTTTTTAATAAAGGGGGCCTTCATCCTAAGACTTCCAGGTTGTCCTCAGCATAGAAACACAGGCTGATTTTTTTTTATTATTTTTTTTTTTAAAGTGGGAACTTGGTTGTGATCATATAAGATAATGCAAACACAACTGGGCTCAGAGGTTATTGTCAGACTTGCTTGTTATTGTGCTTTAGATTCCATCCTATTTCCACTCTTTTTGATGGCCTTTTCCCAGCTGATACAGTCGCTATGTAAGATCCTGTCTTCCAGTTGTTCTAATTTATACGAAAAAGGTGACGTTTCAGGAGAGAAGTGTCCAAATTCATGCGAGTGACAAGACCCACGGCTGGGACTTTCATAATTACGTTCTTCTTTATGGTCGAGGCCCATTTACAGTCACTAACAACCGCTCACGTTTGCCTGGCAGACATGAGCCACCTCCAGGGAGAGTACAGAAGTGGCGGTGGACCGCACCCGAGCGAAGATGCGTCGGTTAGCTCCGTTGCCTTGGTGACGATTCCGATCACGATAGCGCTGTTGCTGATCGTCGTCCTTCTGCTCGTCAATCAGAAAAAGCAGTGGATTCCAGTGTCCTGCTACAAAGCTCCAACAAAGGTGCCCTGTTTACATTTCTTCCCAGGCTTTCGCTTTTTTGGAAAAGATTAACTAGAATATCGTGTAGGATGCAACTGAGTTCACATCATCTGGACTCTCTTACATTATTTTCTCTTTATGTCTTAAACCATTTCATACCAGCCAGTCTATTGGCATTTATTTAGTCCCCTGAATGATTTTTTTCGCTATCAAACAAAAGCATTTCCTGCCCCATATATTAATGAGTTGTCACTAGATAGAAATCAAGCTCAGCAACGAAAATGAAAAAACAAACACCCCAACTGCGCATATGTGTAGGTAAATACATGCAATTTTATTCTCTGCAGTCAAACTCGTAAGAGAGTATTTTTGCTTTCTTAACCATCCACTTTAAAAGTATTGTCCAACATCAGGTACCGTATGTACTAGTAGTGTTTATCACATTTTCTAATAACAGCATCGTATGGTTCTGGGATTAATATTTTAAGAGAGATCTCAGGAAATATCTGCCTATTAAGTATTCTGAGACTACCAAAAAAAGGAAGAAGCAGGTAGCCTAGAAATGAACAGTGAAAAGAGCCCTGGTTTAAGTAGTTCCATCAGCAGACTAAGCCCATTGCTTTGTATTAAAATGCCATTTATAGCAGTTCCCCAATTTATCCCCCTTATATTTCCTAGTTCTAATCAAACAGACTTTGTTCATACTTGGAACACAATTTGAGAGCATCCTTTCCTCAGTTCCACCTAGAAGAGTAATGCAGTACCTTTAAAAATTAAGTGTCCATATTCTTTCTGTCACTGCTGCAGAGCTTTAAAAAAAAAAAAAAAGTCTTTTCCAAAATGTTTACAAATACAGTCAGAGCATAAAATTGAATTCAATTGTAATTAAATAGGAAGCATGAGGAATTGGTATGATTCCACTTCCAGTCTTTCAAGACAAGTAAGTGATACCAGTTTTTGAATTTCTTAAGGAATGCATTTAAAAATCCATTTTTAACTCTAATGTATTCACTCTGACACCCAGAAAGGCTGCTGTGTGCTATGTGACAGAATAGTTGAAGCTGAAGTGAAAATCACAACTTCCTAACTGTGGAACTATAATCAATGATGCTACGTACTTTTTTACTTACCAAACATCATTTTCCTCAAACACTTCTGTTGCTGAAACAGTTTTTCAGTGTCACCAAAAGGCATCATCCATATGCTAAGCAAGCTTCCTTTAAGCCACATAAATATTCAATGCAAGACTGTGGATACAGTGAAAACTCGGATTTCTTGTGAGGGTCTTTGTCATAAATGTAGCTTTTTTTTAAGGTTTCTTCAACTAGGTGTCGCTCATTAGTTTCTCCTATTCCTTGCTGGGTGATTGATGGTTCCTAGTAATAAATCTTGGCAAGCCCCTTTCAGCTTGTGTTCTTTCTGTTCCAAACAGTCCAGTCAATAAAGAATAAATCAACAACTGTGCTTAAATCATATCAATACCAAAAGAAAGGTTATAAGAAAGATGTTTAAAATTACAGCTGGACTGCTAATGGTTAGCCCTGATTCCGTTAAGATCAGTGAATCGCAGGACTTCCCTGTGAATCCTGTCCACAGAGTTTTGAAGAGCCAAATGCAAAAGATTTCACAATAATGTTCTGTAATAAATATTTGGGTAAAAAAAACTTCTTGTGACAAGGGTTACTGAATGTAAATTTTTAGTAATTAAAAACCCATCTGCTTTAAGTCTTGGAAAAAGAAGCTACACCAGTGGAAACTGGAATTTTTAAGATTTGTAGCATGCTTAGAGCGTGAGCAGAGTCACTGACTTCCTGTGGATCCAGCGAGTATGTTACTGCCTGTCCTCCTTCGTGCTTAGCCCACAAACACCTACAGTCGCGCACACCCAGCATTGTTTCACCTTCCTCTCGGCTGCAGAATCTTTCCAGTTGAAGGATTCTCAGAGGGAATAGTAGGACTGGATATGGGGACACCAGAGCTCTGTTCAGGAGATGAAAAATGGTGGTTCAGAAGAGGGTGCTGGTCCGTTCCTGTGCCTGCCATAAGCCTTTACCAGCTTCAGCAAAACTCCAGACTCTTTCATTGCCGATTTGATTCCGTTTAGCACTTACGGACTTGGAACTGTAAACTTTTTTTTTTTTATTATTTCTTTTTAATTATGGGTGGAATACAAACATGTTTTAACCAATTCAATATTCCCTTTCTGTTTTAACAGCCTTCTTGCCTAAACAATCAACTGGTATATGTGGACTGCAAGAAAGGTACCATGGTCCAGGTGGACAGTTCTCAGAGGATGCTAAGAATTGCAGACCCAGATTCAAGATACAGTGGATTTTACAGCATGCAGAAACAGAACAACCTACAGGCAGATAATTTCTATCAAACAGTTTGAAGAATTGCACCCTTACCAAGGATTTACAAAAAAGAGAGAGAGACTAAGTCTGCTATTAAAATAAAACTAGAATTGTGCACTTGCTTAGTGGATTGTATTGGATTTGTGACTACATGTACAGCTCTAAGACCTTACTGGGATGAGCTCTGACTCCTGCAATGTGCCAGAAAAAGCATTCCCACTTTTCCTTGAGATAACTGACCAAGTGTTTTCTTAGAACCAAAGTTTTAAAACTTGTTAAGATGTATTTGCTTGTAACATAGCTATAGAGGTTTTTTTTGGGAGGGGGAATCAGGGGCTAGGGGTAGGCAATGAGGTAAAAAGAAGCTTCAGAGAAGCTGGTCATGCTTGGCTGGAGACGAAAACGAATAAGGAATACTGCCGAGCAGCAGGGTCGTGTTTTTTTCTTGCTGCTCTGAAACTGCATCTGTTGCAGCAAAGCCTAACCCCCGGTGAAAAAAAATACGGAAAGGTCTGATTTTTTTAATTTTTTTTTCCCCCCAGCTGTTGCTACAGTAATATACTCCTAGAACAGAATTCGTCACATCACAGGTGTGGTGTAGCTGCAAATATTTTTCTATATGATGAGAAGCTGCAGTAGTTAAATGAAATAGCAAGGAAAAGGTTATAGCAGAAAATAAAGGGTGGGTTTATTAAGGATGTATAAAATTATACCTTGTGCTGCTTTTTGGTTTTATTTTTGTTTTCTTCAAAGCTGATTGGCTAGATTAGCCAGACTTTGGCAGAGTTAGCAAATGACTGAGGCCTAAGTAATTCCTGATATGAGCACTGGATCTTTTGACAGCAGTATTGAAGGAAGGAAGGAAAAGTCAAGAACACCACGCAGTTCCAGGGGCTTTTGTTTGTTTGTTTTTGTCCGTTGTGGTTTTGTTTTGTTATTTTGTATCAATCTCTGGTTGTTCATACAGGAGAAGGAGAAATATTTTTGTTGGACAAAGCTCTTGCTTACAAGAGAGTGAAAAAGAGACTGTTTTAAGGTTGTTGTTTTTTTTTTTTTTCTCGTTGATGTTCTTATTTACTGGTATGCAGATTTAGAAACTACTTCCATGCTAGGAAGCTGCTTAATTTTAATTGTATATTACTCAAGCACCTTTTTTGAAGCTCAGAAAAAAAAAGGAGATCATGCTTCTTTAAACTTTAGCATTATAGGAATATTTATGTAAATATAATTATGCTAAAACCAACAAAAAGTATTTGTATGTTTGTGTATATATATGTATATACAAATGCACGTAGGTATACATAGGTATATATACGTGCATGTGTATATACACTATACATATATATACTGTATATATAAAATACTATGTATACAGTATATATTTTTTCTATTTTTTTTTCTTGTTGAATGTATTTTTATCTGAGAGAGATTTTACCCAGAGCAGAAACAGATAAACAGGCATTCCATATCAATGCTTAATCGCTTGTGAGTTTAGGAAAGACAAGAAAAGAGCATCTCATTCTACCTACCGTTTGATTTGATTTGAAAGTGTTTGCGCGCGCGTGTGTGTGTGTGTGCACTCTTGTGTTTGCGTGTGTACAGTACGTGCACGATTATAGCAGTAAGCGTTGCTCTTGCTACTTGCTACATTTCAGGGTGTTTCTTCTTTTTCTTTTCCTGCTTAGCCTTAAAAAGGCTTTTTAATGAATGCATTGGCTAGAGACACTGATGACAATATACATGCAGCACTAATCAGCTCCACAGAATAACACCATCGGCTCCTGGATTTTCTTTTTTTTTGTTTGTTTGTTTTTCTTTCTTTCTTTTTTTTTTTTTTTCTTCAAACAATTGTTTGAAACAACTACTGGAATATTGTCCACATTAAGCTGGAAGTTTGTTGTAGCTTGCCTCATTTATAACTCTGACTGTATAATACAATGTTAACTTTCCAAACAGGTCTTGGCACTTTTATACTAATTACCCATTTGTGCATTGCCTTTTTTTCTTTTACAAATGCTTGTCATAAGAGACACAGATACCCAGTATGCTTAATGTGAAAAGAAAATGTATTTTTTGTAAAGGAACTCTCAAGTATTGTTGTAAATACTTGGTCAGAGGTTGCTGAACTTTAAAACTGAAAAAAAAAAAACCCTAATTTATTATTATAATGACCTAATTTATTAATCTGAAGATTAACAATTTTTTTGTTTTAGAATATCAAAAAGGTGTTCTAGCTGTTCGCATCAAAGAAAAAAATAGGTTATCATTAAGGGTCAACATTTTTTCTGCTTATATAACTTCAGTTTCCAACCACCAATAAGAAAAAATGTAGTCTCCCCAGTGTTTTGTACTCAATCTGATATCGAAACAGAGATGTTTCTGTCCAGTTACCACAAAGATTTTGTCAAGACAAAAACATCCATTCCTTGCATAAGAGTAAGCAGTCTTTATCCAGAAATTGTAAATGCTTGCTTTTGTTCTACAATCAAGGCCATATTCTGAAAATATTAGCAGGATATAGGACATGGTGTAAAATGTTTTTTATTTTTATTATTTTATTATTATTATTTTAAAGATATGATTTATCCTATGTGCTGTATCCATTACACTCTTTTACTTTGGTTCCTGTTGTGCTCTTGTAAGAGAAATGCAGATATAATTTTCTGAAAAATAGATGCATAT